CTTTGAGTCCACGAATCTGTGGTCTTCCGTTGTACACGTTATTCTGGGACACCCTGTAATTAATACAAAAACACATACCTGATATATGGAAATTGTTAAATAATGTAATCATACGAAGAAGTATTTTGTATTATTGTTGTTCTCCCATCACCTTCGACAAAGACGAATGCGTAAAAAAGAGCTACTACTAGGAGATTTTTTTATTTCCACATTTTACTTATAATCGTTTCATCAGACAGTCTATTCATAATTATAGCTAATGACAGGATATCTGTTTTATTAAAAAGTAAAATTCATCCAAACCTGAAATTCCTCAGGATAGTCGTTTAATCAATATGTACTACTGTTTCATTAGACAAGATCAAAGCAAATAAAAAATAACACATGATAATTTAAATATAAATATTGGAATACATGTTTTGTATTTCAAATTTAAATATGACACGCTTCATATTTCACATAATTTTATAGAATTTTAGGTTTCATTCATCAGTGCACTAATTGTTTCTTTTTGCTTTAAAATCTACTTTAAAAAGAAATTATCGTCGTCGTACATTCTGCAGCACTTGCGGTGTCATTTCATGACATACGTTCACGATTCGTCCCCACAAGTCTTCTAGTGTATCTGCCGAAGTGCAATAAACTTTACCTTTTACGTATCCCCACAAAAAGAAATCCAGGGGATTTAATTCGGGCGACCGCGGAGGTCACTCAATTGCGCTCCTTCGTCCTATCCACGGATCTGGAAACGATTTTTTCAAATGATTACGCACAATCTACGAGTAATGTGGAGGTACTCCATCCTCTTAGAATACTATTTACTGTTCAATGTATCCAGCACTGCGCTCTATAATATTAGTTAAAGCTGGTCCAATAGCATTTTCAAGCATATCTAGGTATATGTCGCCTGTCAAGTTTCCAGAAAGAAAGAATGGATCAACAAGGCAATCCCTATGTAGGTTTTGGGCATGTACCTCGTGAAATACCTTGGGATTTGAATCGACCCAGTAACGACAGTTGTGTGATGGTCATATGTACCATGTAAGAAAAAAGTACTCTCATCTGAAAAAATACACATTAAATAAAAAATTGGCATTATTCACTGCACGCTCAATCATGACTACAGAATTGCAAGCGCTACTTGGTCCAACACTGGTATCTCCACCTCTCATTTCGTACCGGATTTTCAATCTGCCTCTTCTTATTTCCAACAGAACCAGATTCCCGAAATTTCGCCAACAATTCGCGTACAATTTTACCCGTAACATGTTTGTTTGATTGAATAGTTCTGCGGCCATTTTTAAAATAAAGTTCAATCATTTCCACACTCTCTGGAATAGTGTACACCATGATTAATGTAATTAAAATGTTTAATTTGGAAACGTCTAAATCACACTCAGGTCACAAATCAGCTACCCGACGACTACTGGGCCTATCTTAAAACGTTTTAATCGAATGAAATTTTTTGCGAGCCAACATGTGATAATTTTTACTCATAAAGAACTAAGAACAAGCCGAAATAATCTGCAGGGATATGTGATTGTAGAAATGACAAAATTCCTTCACTTTGAATAAAATCGATTTAATTTCTGCATTTTTAGTGAAATATATTAATGAAATTCAAGACGTCGTAACTTCTAAACGAATTGACCGAATTTCAAAAACCCTTTTCAATGACGTATCACTTGACCCCCATACCCACTTAAAAAATTTTGGGGGGTGCCACCTGCGCATAGGATGATGACATTTGGGCTATGAGTTTCACGTCAAAAGTTGTTTTCCTCACAAACAAAATCGACGTGTTGCAGCATTTTTTCGACAAGATCTTTCTGTGGCAATTATGCCCTACGATACGTTTTCGATGGGCCACACTGTACAATAACGAAAAAACAAGCAATCACTGTAACTGCTCTAATATTATGGTATAATAACAAAGCATCCCGCATTGTCTATGAAAATGTGTGCTCGGACAAATTGGCTGAAATTGTGGTAAGTTGTTGGTTTTGTGTTACTGACTAAAAGTCTCCAAAGTACTTGGGTCCGAAAATCAATTCTTTCCTCCTTTTAGCGGTCTGAGTGATTCTACTGATGGTGACTGCAAAGCGGTATGAGTAGAATATTCCAATAAAATGTTTTGTGAAATGTTTATAGAAAAAAATTAATCAGATGACTTCGAAAAGTTGATAATTAACATTTTTGATATGTGCCAAGTACCAAACTGGTCGCATTGGTCGTTGGCAAAAGTAATTTGTAGATTAGTTAAATGCAATAATATCTCTAAGCTCTAAGTATCAATAAATGAATTGGGTAACGCAATAATCTAGTTTAGAGAATATTAAAAAAAATCATATTGCTAACATGCTCAAGCTGCTATATCTTGGTAGAGGGTCGCAATTGACCCTGGTTCATTTGAAATTTTGACCAAGGCATGTTCTATATACGTATAGATATAATCTATCACAACACTAATAAGACGCTATTTTTTAATCATTCTGTAAAAAGTTCAATTTTTGTTGCCAAATTTAACCTAAAACAGCTAAACGTGCCTAATTATTGACTTCATACGTAATTTTTCTATTCAATTAGGATATTAATTAATTTATTAACAAATAATCTATCTTTTTAAATTTTCTAAACTGAAGTGAAAACAAAAGTGACTTATGATAAGGTAGATCTTATCGAGTAGGTACTCTATTCGTTGCAAAATATGTGCTGGTTAAAGTGGAACACACCGCATGATTTATAAATATCAATATTAATAACGCCTCAAGAAATCTAGTTGTCACTTTGCAAATGACCCCTATTCATCTTTAAAAGTTGAATTGTTGCACCATGAGAAACTTTTATTTGGTTGATTAGAACGTGGAACCGTTTCAAATGTCGTATTTGTAGGTCGACGTGATACTAAAGTGAACGTCAATGCAGATATTATATTTGTAAACAAATACGATATAAGAATATGTTAAAGTGGTTTCAAGACTTTCACAACCTGTACACCATGATTTTTCGGGTTCTTATGCCACGGATTGTAGAGTCACCACTGAAGATGCCGATAGTGAAGAACGGCGAAACTTTTGTAAGAATTGAATGCAACCAGTTACAGAGGCCACTGGGGAACATCTACCATTCATAGAGGAGCGGTTCTCTCCCTAACATCTTTGGAGCCACAACAAGAAAAAAAATTAACATCAGGGAGGGCCTAGGACAAGGGTCGGCAACTGGCGGACCGCGGTCCAGGTCCGGACCGCGGAAGGTAAAATACTGGACCGCCAAACATTTTTTGAAAGTATAAATTACTCAAATAAATTATTTAAAAAATGTTTTTTTTTTCACGTTTGAGTGCCAACCTTATCATTTTTTCTAGTATTTTACAATTGTGTGAGTGTTTTGAGTTCTTAATGGTTAGTAAGCATATTAAATTTGAGTTCAAATGAACATTTGTAAGAAATATGAATTTTTTTTCTGGACCTCGTTAAAAATTTTTAAAAGTATCCGGACCCCATCTAAAATTACTTGCCGACCCCTGGCCTAGGAGTTCTGATAGTGGGTTCACCTTCACAGAGCCTAGCCCGAGAGTAACAAGTGCAGTTTGGCTAAGGCTAAAGAAATAACAACCCGAAAAATCATAGTACTTTAAATATGTAATGAAAGGTCTCAGTTTAACGAAACAAGTAAAGATAACGAATTATAGGTGCAATAGCTATAAACTTTCAAGATTGATTCCTCTCGTTAAACTAAATAATAAAAAAAACAAGATTGACGTTTTCTCTAAAACTATCCTTAAGACTTTATGATCCTTCAAGGATGAGAAGTGGGAAGAATATATTTTGATAAATTATTCAGGAATCATTGAAGATATTAGCTTCACATTTAATACAAGATTATTGGTTACACAAGGTGTTTCAGAACAATTTTCTTTCCTCTGTAGTAAGGATATTTCACCCTTTGTTTTTGATACACAGGGTGCTAAACTGATTTTATAGAATCAAACCATAGTCTTATCCTTTCCAAACCTTAGCCTTATCCTTTGCTAATATATTATTGCATAGAAATTTGGTACCCAACTATAAGTATACGATTGCACACAACCACAGCCTGACCATAAAACTAAACGGAAACCGATTTAGGAAAATGGAAATATATCTGGAGTATAAAATTTTAAAGAATATCTTTAGACAAAGACAAAAAATAATTAAATTACTGACTATATTAACCTATTCGCGAAATTTGCGTCAGCTATTTCATCAGCATAATTGATGCTAGGCATTTAAATTAATTCAAAACAATATAAAACCGCAACAAATTAAAACCACGAATAACATTCACAGGACGTGAAAACTATTATATGATGAAATCTGATTGTGTCGTCCTTTAGAAAGGAATGCCGTTCAATCCGTTTCAACCAATAGTATCACAGTCTTCACTAGTCAATCAGCTTCTATTTCTTTTTCTTAATATGTAGGATGACCGGGAATGAACGGGACATATTTTATAGTAGCTGCTTAGATGTAAGATTTGAACAAAAACTAACCTGTGACTATGAATTGGGGTTGATCTGGGACGTTTCATTTGTAAAATATATTATTGATGTTAACGGTAATCAACAATTTGAGATACAGTAATAGATATGTAATTAGGTAATGATTAGTAATTAGTTCACTTTATCTCTTCCATTCAAAGACGAATATGCCTTTAAATTATGGGAATTTCTTAAGTTTTTTAAAAAACCCACTACTTAGCTTGATTTTATATCATTACTATTTGACTTGACTTGATTTAAAACAATTTGAAAATACCGAAATATACTGTTATTTCCTTAACTATGGAAAATATATATAAAAGTATTTTATGTTTATACCCCAATTTTCAATCCTATTCTATTTTTTTTATTCCTTCAGATGTCTACAGAAATGTTTTACAATGTTTAAACCCTTTTCTAATAAAACTGAATTGAATATTTTGTTGTATGTAGATGTTTAATGCATTACGATTTCTTTCAGTGAAACAGCTAGTCCTGAAGAGCGATCAGCCCTTAAGGAAGCATTACCACAAATAATAGCGGTATGCGTAAAAAACGTTCTTCTATTAGGTTTTGGTATGACTTTAGGATTTCCTACCATCCTAATACCTAGTTTATCAGGAAATGATCCAAAAGAACAGATACTGTTAGGACAAGAAGCCATATCATGGATCAGTAAGTATTATTTACATATAACTAGCTCAACCCTACTATAACAGTGACTTTATAGAATCACTGTACCCTACTATGCTTTGCAGCGCCACCTATTGAAAACTCCTCAAAATACTTTCTAAACCTTTCCAGTAATGTGTCGAACATAACCCATAAATTTGAGGTTAATCGATCCAGTGACATTTAAGTCTATAAATGACACAGAGACTAACATTGATTTATATGTATAATATACCTACATATATACCTATATGTATACAGGGTGTCTCATAATTAGCTGCCAACCCTGAACAGTCCAATTCTATGATCAAAACTAAGTAAAAAAGTTCATATGAACATGGGTCCGGAAATGCTTCCTAAGGGCACAGGGACCCATTGAAGAGGGAGGAATGNAAAGAACAGATACTGTTAGGACAAGAAGCCATATCATGGATCAGTAAGTATTATTTACATATAACTAGCTCAACCCTACTATAACAGTGACTTTATAGAATCACTGTACCCTACTATGCTTTGCAGCGCCACCTATTGAAAACTCCTCAAACTACTTTCTAAACCTTTCCAGTAATGTGTCGAACATAACCCATAAATTTGAGGTTAATCGATCCAGTGACATTTGAGTCTATAAATGACACAGAGACTAACATTGATTTATATGTATAATATACCTACCTATATACCTATATGTATATACCTCAATACAAAGAAGTTCTCTAAAAAGTTAATATTTAAAAGTATTGCCAGTGTATCTAAAATACGTTTACTTATAACAAAAACTATAAGTACCTTTAAATTTAAAAAAGGTAAACGTATTAATTGTTTTTCAGTTTTTATTATAAAAATTGAAGGGGCAAAACATGATAATTTTACTGTAATTCAAAAAAATTATATTATAAAAAATATTGTAGGTACTATAGTTAGGTTAGGTTAGGCTTTTAAATATTATATGACATTACTTATTTTTGTGCATTATTCAAATTTTCTCGTTGATTTTGTTTTGCCATATTAGAAATTGACTAATAGATCGATCAAAATAACTTATTTCGAGAGAAAAAAAAATTGTTACCTGGACTTTTATAAGTGGTAAAGAGGCTTATGATAAACGAAAAAAAAAAATAAATGCGTGAGCAGGGGCGGCGGAGGGTTGATTTGGGGGTTGAAGTTATGAAAAATTGTATCATTGGGATTTCTGGCGAAAGTTGACGTCAAACAAAAAAGTATCCAATACAAAAGTTGTCGATCATGTAAAAATCTACAACTTTTGTAGAGGTCACTTTTTAACATATCCGCAAAATTTCCGAGAAAAATGCGAAAAACAGTTTTTTTTCTGATTTTTCGTTTTTTATTTCTCATTTCCGCAAAAATAATTTAATTTTGATGAAACTTCGTGAAAGTATACATTGCTCTATCTTAAATAACCTCAAATTTTTTTAAATAAAAAAATCAAGAAGTTTCTGAGATATTAATTTTTTTCGGCCTGAAACACTTTTTTTTCAAAGAAAAATTCTACTTCAAAAAATCATCGTACAGAATTCTGCCGGTATTTTTTTCGTTTTGACTTACTTTTTGGTGAAATAGAAAAAATTGTAATCACAGCTCAAAAATATGCTCAAAAATGCAAAAAAGTAAAGAATGACTTCCAACAATGAATTTTTCAGTTATTGTTGATAATTTGTTTAAATTAAAAAACATTCAAAAACTGATTACACCATTCAATTCTACGGAAAAAACAAATTTTAAAAACTGTCTCATTGTTTGACCCAAAACTATTTTTATACAGTATTGCTATAAACATAAGTCGAACAGTGAATAAATAAAATAAACAATAATTTGTTTTCCGTCGGATCGATTAGTGTACTTATTTTTTTTAAGTTTGATGAATTCATAAATATACAGTGTGTCCAAGATAAGGATGAGATAGCATTAGGATCTAGGAAACGGTAAAAAATACGGGGTGGCTCGGATTAGAAAAATGTTGTGTTTTATTATACCTAACAATATGCTGTTTAGAAAGTTTTAAAATTCCGGATAGTTCCGGAGATATCCGGAAAAAAACGAAATTTTGCAAAATTATTTAATTTTTTCTGGCTTTATTTGAAAACGAATTTTAAAATAAATTACATATTTACAATGCCACTTTTTTCGCTCTATACAATGGCGTCAACATTTTTGCAATCCAACGTTTCGCTTTTGAGGGGCCATCATCGGGTTAATTTTTTAAATACGTCGCTGCTATTTTTATGACAAAATCTAGTCATTTTTAATTCTGAATTAGAGAATATTACTATTATAATCGCTTCAAAAGTTTTTAGCTTGTTTTGGCTATAATTTAAAATTTTTCCTGAGTACGGCTCTGAACGCTTTCAAAATATCTATTGGATGAAGTCATAACAGTATAAAAGTCAATACCGCATAAAATATCCAACAATTTTTTACTACTATTAGCAATACTAATTAGAAATAATAAAATATTTCATAAATTCGTATT